GGCCTGAGCACCTCTGGCCCGAAGCCCCGCAGAGGCCCCGCCGCTCCTGCCGGTCTCTTCCGGGGCCCCAACGAAGCTGGCCTCGCTGCGATGGCCGCCCTGCTCGCGCAGCCTGCCAGCGTCGCACTTCGGCAAGCGCTCGGAGTTCGCCACCTGCCCTTGGGCCCCGGCAGGCAGACGGGGGCGCGGGGGGGGGGGCCGGTCTCTGCCCCGCCCTCTCGCACATCCTCCAACAGATCTCCTCGCACGCCCTCCTCCACAACCATACCCACCTCCTCCCGCCCCCCCCCTGCTTCTCGCGCGCGGCGCCTTCCGTCTCAGGCCCCTGCCCAGCCTCTGGCGCTGCCGTCGAAGCCGTTCACCGCCTCTTCGCCACCGCTAGCCAGAGACGACCGCATGGGCCCGTCTCCATCGCCTCCACGATCCGCAAAGGACGGTTTGCCGCATGGCCCATCCTGGTCAAGCCTGCAAAAAAATACCCGCGAAAGCCAGGCGCGCCTCCGTCGCGTCGCGCATCTGAACCGCCCTGTCCGCGATGCACTCCGCCGTCTGGCCCGAGCCCTAGCTGCACCTGGAAGGGACATTTGGGAGTTCCACAACCTCGCGCCCTTTCAGGACCTGCGGCGCTCGCCCCACACGACGTGCCAGATCCCATGCTAGACCCCGAACTCAACCTAGAAGAATTCAATTCAAACATCCATCTCGGGGTCGCCGTCGGAACGATAAAGCGAACGCCGCCTGCCGCCAAGATCACGCGGCTGCCTGACCGCGCAGAATGGCCACCGCACACACATGGCACCACGATGCTCCCACAGTCGCGCCCGCCAGCCATAGTCACCGCCAACCTCGCTACGATGCGCTCTCCGGACAGGCGGGCTGGTCTCTTCCGCCGCCACGAGAGCACGCGCGCCCTGCGCGGTCTGACGGACACCGCTCTCAGCGGCACCGCTGGCCCGGCGATCGCCCACAGGCAGCTCGCGGGGCACAATCACGATCTGGAGGCCCTCGACGGCGCCCCTGCGCAGCCTCCACACCGCAGACTCGACGTCGATCATCAACACGACCCCACGGCGCCCTAAACCCTCAATCCACGAAGAATTAACGCAGTACGTCACCACGGACGCGCTCGCCTTGCCATCCAAGACCACCGCGCCCATCGCGCTAGTGACCCCGCCCTCGATGAAAAGCGCGCGCGTCGCCGTTTTCTTCTCCTCGCCCAAGTAGAAGTAATCCGCGGCGATCTCCAAGGTCGCCCCCGCGCTCTCCAGATCGCCCCCCGCTACCGCGAGACGGAGCTGCCCGCGGGCCCCTGCAGCCACTGCCCGCACCACGCCCTGCATTGACCGCGCCATTGAAGCGCATGCCCCCCCACTTCCGCTAGCGACGGCCACGCCGGCACCCCCCAAGCGCGCGGGCGCAGCGCCTCCTCCGACACGCCCAGCCCGCCCCTGCGGCCCGAGGCCCCCAGCGGCGGGCCCACCGCCGAGAGCTGCTCTGGAGCCCGCGGCTCTCGGCCCGCCTCTGGCCCGCCTCTGGCCCCCCGCCGGGGCCGAAGGTTCAGCCGCTGACGGCGTTTGCTCCTCCAGCGGGACCGACTGCCGCCCTGACCTCGAGGCCTCCCGACCCAGCGTCGCCCGCGCAGTCGGGATCACCGCGCGCGCAGCACCCGTGACCAGTCTGAACTTCCAGAGCTCGTTCGCGCTGTCTCCCTTGTCCAGGTCGAACTTGTAGGCGCCGGCCTCCTTCTTCAGCATCAGCAACCCCTGCTACGGCGACGTCTTCAACTCCGCCTGGATCACCTCGTCGATCTCCCCGGGCAGGTTGCTCGCCACAGGGGGGGCGTGGCCCGCGCGCCCCCTCAAGACGATCGCGCAATCCTCCGCGGCCCAACCCGCCGACGCCAACGGCTTGCAGCTGTCCGCCGGGCACCCGCTCAACAGGGAGAGCTGGCCACTCAAGAAGCAACCGAGCAACTGGGACGGACCCCCTCGCACGCGACCTCGCCGCGCGGGGCCACGGAACTGCCCATGTCCACGACGTTCATATCCAGCTCTGGCTTCCCAGGTCCACCTGGCCACGCTGGGGTAGAGACTCTGGTCTCTCGAACGCGCTCAAATCTCGACTCCGCGCCCAGATCCGTTGCCAAGATCGCGCGTAGCTACATTGTCTCGCCTGACCTGTCACATCCGTCCACGGTCATACCCGCGCCGTGATTGGACCAGAACACATCCAGCTCGCAGGTCACACCTAGCTCTAGCACGAGGTGTACCTCGCACGCCAGATCCGCTTGCATAGTCAGAACAGGCAGTGGGACGCGGTCCACCTCGCACGCCACATCCGTCTCCACGGTCAGACCTAGCTCTGGCACGTGATCAAGTTCCACGGTCAGATCCGCTCCCACGGTCAGACCTAGCTCCAACATGTCGTCCAAGATCGTTGCCAGATCCGTCTCCACAGGCTGACCTCGCTCAGGCACGACGTCCAACTCCCCTGCCAGATCCGCGTCCGCGATCACGCCAAGGTGCGTCATGCAATCTGGCACGCGTGTCAGACACATGATGATAATGCCCTTAAAGCTGACGACTTTGACGATGATAGTGACTACGGTGATCACGTGCGTCTCGACGATGACACCGAACTCCAGCATCATCAGGGACGCCGCCTCCGCCCGTCGCCCCCGCGCCGCCCCCCGCAAAAACGTCTTGAGATTGCCATCGTCGTCGAAATCGTCGCCGGTCAGGCCAGTCAGGGGGCAGATTTCAAAGGCGCAGAGGGCACTGGCCATGGTCATGCCCATTCCCCCCACACACACACACACACGGAACGTAGTGGGCGTCGGCTGCAGTCCTCCGTAGGTTCTGACCCTCGCGCCTTACTGTTGGAGTCATTACCGTTGAAGTCCTTGCCATTGCCCTTGGGATCGCTTTTCCCTCCGCGGCCCTTCCCGTCTTGGCAAGCTCTCCGGCAGTCGACACTACGATGGCCCCAGCCCCGGCAATCACAGCAAGAATCGTCGAGATGTTTATCTGACTTGCCCTTCCCTTCCTACCTTTGGCGCGTCGTCGGAGGGGCCCCATGTCCACGTTCACGACGCTGCCACGGTGAAGATGACGATGGTGCTGCTGAACCTGTAGCGCACGAGCCTTGGCTCCAAACCGCGCCTCCACGTAAAGTACGACATCGGTCCCCACGTCCGCGTACGCGTCGAACCTCGCGGCGTTCAGTGGAACGTGCGTCACCGGCCCCTACGGGACAAGGCCCTCGAACGCAGGGAATCGACATCCGCTGGAAGTGTTCGGGCCCTGGCCTCTCCCCGAGACACTTTGGAGCGCTAGTACTTCGTGGCCAGCTCCTCACAAAGCTCCAAGCCGCCCGCAGTCACGTCTGTGGAGCACCTCCTGGGGGCGATGACCTGCCTGGGTAAATTACGAAGCCTACCCCCAAATAAGTGGGCCAAACCGTCTGCACAAGTTCCGCCACGCTTCCACGTCGTTGGAGATGGAGATGCAAACGATGTCTTTGGCCCCGCCTTCTGCGATCTGGACCACCATGCTGTTCACCTGGTGGGACTTCTCCAACATGTCATGGCTCTTGTTGGCTGGATCCGCATCGTCGCTAAATGCCTGCTACAATGTCGTTCGTGATCGTCCCCTTGATCTTGATGGCCCAGTCCATCACGTCGTCCAGGGACGGGTGCACGATGAAATTGCGGGCCATCCTCTGTCACACGCCAAACTTCATCACTAGCTCCTTCTCGACCCCCTCTCCAGACTTAGTGAGTTTGCCTATGCCCCGGGTGTCCACCAAGATTGACGACCAGCTCTGTGCAGACATCTTGTCAATCGACGTAGCAAAGCGCTCGATCACCTGCGACTTGACCTGCTCGGCCGCAAGTTGTTGACGCAGCTGTTGGATATCCTGTGGTTGACGTTCCAGTGCCACCTGAAGTTGTTGCACTATATGCTTCATTGCGTTGAACTCTACCTTAGTGTTGAATGTTACCTCAGTGTTGACTTTTACCCTAGTGCTGAACTCTGGCTCAAGCCGTTCACAAAGTTGCGGACAGTATCGAAGAACTGATGCGCACGAACTGGGCCCTACCAGTGCGCTACCATAATGAGAGTTGCTTACCTTTTTACTTAACCAAACGGCTATGGCTTCTACTGCTCCCTCTGATTCCTAATCCTCACTATCCTTTCTATAATGCTACACTGCTGCATAAATACATGAGCACTCTGACCATAAACTGTTGGAGGTTCGCGCGAAATTTCTTGGATCTGCGCTGAACCCCCCCCCTTGGCGCGCAGGAAATTCACCCCACGTCCAAGAATTTCGCGAAGAGCGGGCAGAGTTTGTTTATGCCGCTTCTGCGCCCTCGAGTCTTAGAACGTAGCACTGTCGTGTCTTCGTGCCCCTGTCGGCTACACGCATGAGCATCGTTTATCCGATCCCTATTCCCAGCGGCGTGGCCTGGGCCCCACTGGTCGACCTACCCCACTAGATGGGGATAGAGGCCGTTCCCTTGGGGGTTCGAGGGGGGTTCTTCAACTGGGGGGTAATTTGGTGGGGGTCTCGAAGGGGATAGGGATGGGGACGGAGGTCGGTTAAACGATACTGAACGAAAAAGCGACCCTGGGTAAGAGTGACCTTTGCTGCGCGGCTTCTGGGGGGCCGCGGGGGGACCAAACACAAGCGCGCAAGACGCGACTGCCGCATCGCGTTCGGCGATCGGGGGACCCCATTGGGCCCACACCGAATGTCACTCTGGCGAAGGGCCACTGTTACGTGCATGAGCATCGTTTAACCGATCCCCATCCCCAGCGGCGTGGCCTGGGCCCCACTGGCCGACTTACGGCCCTAGATGGGGATATGGGCCGTTCCCTTCGGATTTCGAGTGGTGTATCCCCAACTGGGGTGGTAATTTGGTGGCGGTCTCGAAGGGGATGAGGATGGGGACGGAGGTCGGTTAAACGATACTGAGTGCGGTCGACCCTGGGGTCCTGATGCGCGGCGATGAGCCACCCGAGGGTCCGCAGCGCTCCCGGCGCGCGCCCGGGCGGGGGCTCCGCCGGGGCCTCCCGCGCCTCGGCCGCCAGGATGGCCTCGCGAGTCATCTCGCTCCTCCAGAAGGGGAAGAGGCCGCGCTCGGCTTCGGCCCGCTTCGGCTCCGGCCCGTTTCGGCGCCACCGGTCTGCTTCGGCTTCGGCCCGTTTCGGCTTCAGGCCCGCTTCGGCTTCGGCCCGTGTCGGACCGGCCCGTCGGGGCCCTGGCCCGAGCCGAGGGGCGCCGAAGCCGAAGCGGGCCTGAGGCCGACACGGGACCGAAGCCGAACATCAGGCCCGTGCCCCACGGAACCAGCAGCGGCACGGGCATAAACTCTCGAAAGTCGGCGCCGACTCCTCGGATCCGCACTGGACTTTCCTCCCCTTCGCGCGGAGCGCGCCAGGGGCAGCGCCCGAAGCTTCGGTGGCAACTCATGGGAGCCTCCCATACCATCTCGTCGGCCCTTGCGAATCGACGCTAATGGACGCTGAATCGACGCTAATCGAAGCTAAATCGACGCTCATCAACGCTAATCGACGCTAAATCGGCGCTATCTCACCGACTCCCAGACACAAATCGACGCTAAAGGCGGCGGAACTGAGAGAGTACACCAGGCTCCCATGATTTGCTGCATAACCATCCCCGTCGCGCGGAGCGCGCCAGAGGCAGCGCCGAAGGCGCCGCTGGGAGGAGGGGGCAGCGCCGATCCCCGTTCGGGGAGACGCAGGGCTCGGGTTCGCAGGACTCGGAGTGGCCTGCCGGGGCCGGACCCAGGCCGAAATTTGATCATGCTGCAGACATCCCACCAAGACTGGACCGTCGAAACTGAAGATGGGCCCTGGGTCACCTGCCCGTGCGTCGGACGAAGTGGGTGAAGACACGAAGCAGGAAGGCGAAAAAAGCTGACGGGGCTTGGGCCCTCCCAGAGACTGACAAGACGCAGCGAAAGCAGATCGAGTCCTGAAGTAGGAAGGCGCTTGAAGCAGCTTGGGATCTGGGAGTCCAGAGATCCCGTCAGAAAAGGGGGCAAACCCGAGCTCGGGCGAACTCGAGCCCTACGTTGCCCCGACCAGAACTTCGCGCGGGCCTCCGAACGCCTGGGCCTGAGCCCCTTCGTACCTCCCCGGGCCTCGGGGCGTAGACGGGCCGCCGCTCCTCCTGCGCCACCCGCCGCCAGGCCTGAGGGGCAACGTTTTTGGAATCCGATCATTGAATTGAGAATGTGTTTAAACTGTGTAAAACATGTTATAAAAATGGTTTAAACATGTGTTTCCATATTTAAACACACATGTTTTAGACATGTGGAAACTATTTGGCAGCATGCTTCCTCTCCATTGATCGACTTCCACAAACCAACGTCAGGGGGGAGGGCCCAGCTCGGGGCGGCAGGATCAGGCGGCCTCGAATCGGTAAATCGGATCGAATCGACATGTGCAGCGGATCGGGCCGCAGCGGCACAAGCGAACTCGAGCAAGTTCGGCTGCGCCAGGATGCACAACAGCACCATGCAAACATCGGGCCGCATCGGATGTTCAAAATGTCGGAATCGACTCGGATCGGGCCGGCCAGAATCAACATCGAATCGGATCGAGCGGATCGATCGGATCGAAATCACCCTGGGCAGGGGGCGGGGAACCTCGAGCTGGAGTCGGCGATGCATCGCTGATAGATCGGCGACAGGGACAGGGTCCCGCCGGCGAAAGCGCACCGTTCCTGGGCGGGGCGGGCTGTCAGACCCCTGTCGGCGATCACTGGGCGAATCCGAAGTCGATGCATCCCACCAAAGACAGTCCGCCCCAATGATCCTCGTCGTCTGGTTTCCAGGTCATGGCTCGGTTCTCCGTCGGCCATGCGGGATGATCTGGGCACCCCAAGACGCGCATCGGCGAGGCGCAGTTGATGGAGAGCACCCCGAGACTGGAGAGCCGCCGAAGACGACGAAAACGTCCGAACACTTCGAAATTGAAACCGCCGCCTGCCCCTCCCGAACGTCGTCAACGGCGGCGGCGACGGCGGCGGCGCTCGTCGTCGTCGTCGTCGTCGTCGTCGTCGTCGTCGTCGTCGTCGTCGTCGTCGTCGTCGTCGTCGTCGTCGTCGTCGTCGTCGTCGTCGTCGTCGTCGTCGTCGTCGTCGTCGTCGTCGTCGTCGTCGTCGTCGTCGTCGTCGTCGTCGTCGTCCTCTTCATCCTCCTCATCCTCCTCCTCTTCCTCCTCCTCCTTCTGCGATCCTTCTGCGGCCATGTGGTGTCTCCTGCTGAGCAACAGACAGCACGCGGGAAAGAAAGAAGGCTGGGCGCGCCTGGCGGTGATGCCGCAGTCGCCGAGCGACGCCGACGACCGACGACGGACGACGACGACGACGGACAGGCAGACAGTCGGCATCCGCCAGGCTGCGTCAGCAGCCTAAAAGGTCAAGGGCCTCGCTCCGACCGAAGTGGGCCCCAGAACTAGGGTCGACCCCGCGATCCAGCTTCCTCAAGATGATCGCGGCGTCGTTGTTCCTGGGGCCTCCTGAACAAGGCCCAGAAAGATACTGGGATCTCAGGGCCCCAAAGGCCCCGCACCTTGCGCACCACACGAGCCTGCCTCCACCTATGTACAGTTTGTGGGTACGGTGGGCCATCCTCGCGATTCGCGGGAGCCCAGAACACAGCGATTTGCAGATACCAATCCTACTGCCAGACTCTCCGCGTAACACACAGATGTCCTTACCTTTGGGACGGGGCGTCAGGCTGGAAAATGGCGGAGAGCTGGCGTTGTGAATTAATTGGGACGCTGGGTTCGCTGCGGCCCAGCCTGTCCACGGGTGGCAGCGCTCCAACCTTGGAGTTAAAAGAGTTGGTCCTTGGCGTCTTGGGGCTCCTGTCTCGTAGCCGCGTCCCACATGCAGCACAGAGAGACGGGCTTTCAGGAGCCCTAGCTGACGGACCTTGGGACCCAGGAAGGCTTGAAAGTCCCCCAGTGGGGTCGTCACTAGTTCGGGCAATCGCCCCGCTCAGCGCGAGCTCGGTGCTGCTCGGGGCGTCGCAGAAAGTTGCGTCTGCCACACTGCGGGCCGAAAAATGCCTATCCGGGAGCCGCGCCCGACAACGCGCGACGAGGGACGTGCCTGGGTTCCCTGGGTCCGTTTGTAAAAAGCGAGCAGGCGGTGCCGCCTGGCTCAACCTACTGAGGCCGTCGCTCTCGTTCCTCCTCCTCCTCCTCCTCCTCCTCCTCCTCCTCCTCCTCCGCCTCCGCCTCCGCCTCCGCCTCCGCCTCCTCCTCCTCCTCCTCCTCCTCCTCCTCCTCCTCCTCCTCCTCCTCCTCCTCCTCCGCCTCCTCCTCCTCCTCCTCCTCCTCCTCCTCCTCCTCCTCCTCCTCCTCCTCCTCCTCCTCCTCCTCCTCCTCCTCCTCCTCCTCCTCCTCCTCCTCCTCCTCCTCCTCCTCCTCCTCCTCCCCTCCTCTCCTCCTCCTCCTCCTCCTCCTCCTCCTCCTCCTCCTCCTCCTCCTCCTCCTCCCCTCCTCCTCCTCCTCCTCCTCCTCCTCCTCCTCCTCCTCCCCTCCTCCTCCTCCTCTCCTCCTCCTCCTCCTCCTCCTCCTCCTCCTCCTCCTCCTCCTCCTCCTCCTCCTCCTCCTCCTCCTCCTCCTCCTCCTCCTCCTCCTCCTCCTCCTCCTCCTCCTCCTCCTCCCGCCTCCTCCTCCTCCCCTCCTCCTCCTCCTCCTCCTCCTCTCTCCTCCTCCTCCTCCTCCTCCCCCTCCTCCTCCTCCTCCTCCTCCCTCCTCCTCCTCCTCCTCCTCCTCCTCCTCCTCCTCCTCCTCCTCCTCCTGGGGGGTGAAGATTGCCAACCCTCGACCTGGGATCGCGCACCCCCCTGACGTTGCCCCCGGCAGGCCTCGTGCGACCCGAGCCCCAGGTCCGCCGGCGCGGCCCGGCAGAGTCCCCAGTCTCCCCTGGCCAGCTCGCCCAGCAGCTGCGTGCGGTGCCACCGCGCCTCGCCCCAGAACACCTAGGAGGAGGAAAAACGCCGTAAGCCAGGGCTGGACCTAAACGCTGTTTTTCGTCTTGTTTTTCGTCTTGCTCTACCCGTTCTCCTGTACCTCCCTGCCAAGACGAAAAACAAAACACAGCCGAAGTCCAGCAAAACAGCGCGCCAGGGGGGCCCAGCGCAGAGCCAACATTCGGGGGGAACTCATGGGAGCCTCCATATCATTTTGTCGGCTCTTGCGAATCGACGCTAATCGACGTTAGTCGGCGCTAATCGACGCTAAACGGATGTTAATCGACGCTAACCGATGCTAAATCGGCGCTATCTCATCGACTCCCAGACGCCAGTCGACACTAATCGACACAAAACTCGAAGTTAAGGGCGTACACCAGGCTCCCATGACTTGCTACCGAATCAATCAATCCGCGCAGAGCTTCCAAGGTTTACAGCGGAGGCCAGTCCACAAAAAGCCTTCCACAAGAAACCCCAGGACGTTCATCACTTTTCGGCGTGGGAACGTCACGCCTTCCGTCGCAGAACCATCGAAGCCCAACGAACACAGGGCACCCTGGAGGCGAGCAGGGGGTCTCTTGGCATGGGTCTCCACTGTACGCTCCTGCCGAGCCTTCCCTCCCGCGAACACCATCAGCGGCCTCGCCCTGGCCCTGCCGGGGCTGCAGGGCGCCGGCGCCGGCCGCTCAAGCGCGTCGCCCGTCACGTCCTCCGTCAGGCTCTCGGCGGCGACCCCCACGACCATGTCGTCCGGGTCGATCCGCCGCGCCGTGGCCGCCTCGTCTCAGGTCGGGCACGTCCTCCCACAGGCGGATTCTGGACGGAAAAAATGCGGAACAGCCAGAAAAGGCTCAAAAGCACTCGAAAATAGCCGACCAATCGTCCCCAGCTGAGTTTTTTGAATGCTCCTCCTGTCGAGGGACATGCCCGACTCAGCCTCGTCGCCGGACCCGGCGCCGCCGCTCGCCGAGCTCGCCGAGCGCGAGGGCGGCGAGGCGCCCGCCAGCTCCGCCGCGTTCAGGCCGGAAGCGTCGCTGCCCACGGACTCGGGCGCGGAGGCGTCGGCGTCGGCGTCGGCGTCGTCGTCGTCGTCGTCGGAGGCGGCGCGCGACCCCGCGGCGGCGGGGCAGTCCACGCCGTCCAGCCGGGTGCTGCCCTCGGTGAGGGGGAGCGAGGAAGGGTTGGGAGGCAACCCCTGGGAGGCCTTTGTCGGAGCGACGAGTGACGGTTTTCTGATGCACTGTTTTGCCGATCGGCGCGGGCCCTCGCACGCCCTCCCCCCCTCGTGGAGTAGATTTTTGCTGTGTTCGGCGCCTGCTTCCAGCCTCCCCCACAGGACGCACTGCTGCAAACAGCCGCGATAAGCAGAGGTCTGGAGCCAGACCCCCCCCCCCTCCCCCTCATTTCCGCCCAGTGTCGAGTCGCAGAATAAGAACAACGACCCCCTACGGCCAAATACGCCCGGTTGCGGGGCCACTGGGCCAGATGAGGCAGGCGCAAGCCCAGGATGAGGCTGGAGGCAGCGGGATTGGGCCAGATCGGGGGCAAGTGTTCGACCAGGGAAGCACCAGCGCCGATGCTGAATTCAACCTCCCAGGAATCGCTTGCATGCGTAGACAGGGGCGGGGGCAGGCTCGGGGTGGGAGGAACATCGCTTCGGAATTGGCGATGCATCGCCGATCGATCGGCGATGGGTCCCCGATGCCGAGACCGCCCGCTCCTCTGCAGGTGCAACGTGGGCGACGGAGGAACGGTGTTCCCCCCCCCCGAGCCTGTAGTCTGAAGGAACAGCAGGCAGCATAGACATAAACTGTCGGAGGGCAGGGCGGATCTCTTGGATCAGTGCTGGAGCCCCATCGCGCCGCCTCTGCCACTGGCGCGCTCCGCGCGCAAGGAGGGCGTTCCAGCGCCGATCCGAGAAATCCGCGCGGACCTCCGAAGGCTCATGTTTACTCCCCAAGCAGCGCTTGCGCTTAGCAGGCCAGTGTGGCCGAGGAATTGGATGGGTATGCCATGGTTTCGGCCGGTGCCCACTTTGCGGGCGCCCGTGGGAGCCTCGTGGGCGCCCCGCGCGTCAGGGTGGTGCGCCCGGGTTTCGCCGGGTGCCCGCCCGTGAGAGCCTGTGCGTGCCTCGTGAGCGCCCCGCACGCCGGATGGAGGTGTGCCGAGGTTTCGCCCGGTGCCCGCCCGCGGCCGCTCGCGGGCGCCTCGTGGGCGACCCGTGGGCGGCCGCATAACTTACACCACGTAGCTTGAACCACGTAGACTGCCTCACATGGCTTGCACCAAGTAGCTTGTCCAGCATACAGATTACCACACAGTTTGCACCACTTTGCTTGCACCACAGATGTTGCATCACAAAGCGTTCGCGATACAAGCTGTTTCCCCAGCGCCTACACCACCTAGCTCGCAGCACATAGACTGCACCACATAGGTTGCACCGCGTAGCGTTTACTACATTGATTTCACCACATAGCTTACACCTCACAGCTTGCACCACATGGACTGCACCACAGAGCTTGCACCACACACCTTGTGCAACCTGCCACCCCCTGGATTACAAAGGTGTGATCCCTTGTCGATTGACCCTCGAGCGTCGACCTTCGACCGACCCCAAGATGACTCCAAGAAAGGCCCGTGTACCGGACGACGGAACGGCACCGCAGGGCGCTGAGCACTGCAGCGGAAAGTTTTGTTTAGAATCGTACGCACCCCTAGGGAAATTGCCTACCCCGAACGAGGCCAGAAGATGCTTCTTGAGGAGTCCCAAATCGAAAGCGCCACTCTCAGGCGGCATTAACATCGATCTGAAATGTTTGTCCCGAGGACGTCCCAAGCCAGGTCGCCAGTTTCAGACGGCATGGCAAATTATCAGATCGCCCTGAAGGGCGATCTGGAACTTTGTTTGAGGAAGTCTCAGGCGGAATGCCACTTGCAGACGCTGGCACCACTGGGCCTCCATTATATTAAAGGGGTGAGAGATGCATCTGAAACTTTCAAATCAGCATGAAATCCAACATTGTCTCGTGGCCCCACGGCCTACTGGGTGGTCAATCGCGTCTCCCTCGACCCCCGCCGTCTCCACTTTTGAAATGCAGCGGGTTGTAGACTTCACACATACTTACACCACATAGCTCGGACTACACAGACTGCTTGACATTGCTTGCCCCGGATAGTGTTTACCACATCACGCTTGTCTCACATAGTTTACACAACATAGCTCGCACCACAGAGACTGCCTTACGTCGCTTGCCCTACACTGCTTTTACCACCCACCTTTCACCACACAGCTTCCACTGCATAGCTCGCACCACATAGACTGCGCCACATATTTTGCCCCACATTGAGCATACCATAATCAGTGCTCACCACATCGACTCTGCCACACAGCTCCCACCGCATGGACTGCACCACATGGCCTGCGCCTTTACCACAGAGGTGTGACCACATCACTCGCACCACACAGCTTCCGCCTCCTAGCGTACACCGCACAGCTTGCACCATGCAGCTTGCACCACGCGTGTTGCACCGCTGCCCCCGGGCCTCGGGCCCCGCGGTGCGCCGCACCTTGCAGGCCGAGCCCTCGCCGCTCTCCCGGCCGGCCCCCGCGGCCGCCGCGGGGCACCGCGCGGCCGGCAGCGCCTGCAGCGCGGCGCCGATGTCGGTACCCACGGCCACGCCCAGGTGCTGCAGGCCCCGGAAGCCGCGCGGCAGCGGGTGCTCCAGGCCTTAGCGGGCGAAGAACGGCATAGAAATCAGGTGTTCCGTCACCGGGGGCGCTGCCCCGGGGCGGCTGGAAAGTTCATACCTTGACGTGCCACCGTAGGGGTATCAGCTTGCCAGCCGCCCTGGGACAGGGGCCCCCGACAGCGAAAAAGTGTACGTTTTGTACCGTTCTTCGCCCGTTACTGAAGGGAAACTGGGACACACAAATAAATACACACAAATAAAAATATCCCTCATATTTGCCTATATTTTCTGGGTTTTTGTCTTCCCCCCCACTTCCCATATTTTCTGGGAATCGCCGATTAATTGTGTCTGTGTGTTTTTTCCCCTCCTGAATTACAGGCCGTCGGGCCCACCGACGGGCGCCAGCACCACGCACTGCGAGGGGCTGCAGGGCCCGCCCAGGTAGTGCTCGACGCGCACCGCGCCCCGCAGCCCCCGGGGCAGCTTGCGGCAGGCCTGGCGCACCGCCGCGCGGGCCCCGTCGGAGAGGTCCGCGGCGGACACGCGGTTCCTCGAGAGGCCCAGGGACACACAAATACATGGGCACGAGTGCCAGGACTCCCGATACATTTTCCATACTCTCTGGAGTTTCGTGTTCCCCCCCACACACACTATCCATATTTTCCTGCTCCCCTGGGCATCGACGATTCTTTGTCTGTGTGTGTGTGTGTCTTTCCCTCCGGAGCTCCCCAGGTTCACGGCGCGGATGCTGTCGTCGCTGGGGTCGCAGGCCTCGGCCTCCGCGCCGTCGGTCTGGAGCGCCACCTCCGCCGGCAGCGGCAGCGCGGCCAGCGCCCTCCGCAGCTGCCCGGCGCCGGGGGCGGCGGGCGCGGCGCTGCCCAGGGCGGACTGCACCCACTGCGCCCCGCGGCTGCCCCCCGCGGTGCTCCCCGTGGCGCGCTCGGTGCACCCGGGCTGCTCCTCCGGGAGGCTCGGGGGAGGGGGCACCAGCACCAGCACGGGGGGGTGCCTCCCCCGGGGGCAGTGGTCCTACCTTCTGGTCTTGGTGGTGCTCTTTCTATGGAGCCGAACTCTATACACCGGTGCTCTTTCCGGCCCCGCACTGGAATTCGCACAGGAAAGCGGATGCTGGTGTATACGGGATCCTGGTGTGCACATTTTTCACTGTCTCCCCTGGAAAACGGGGAAAAGTATACGCCACACCACCCCGACGTCGCTCCCGATCCTCAGAAAGTCCTGGGATTGAAAAACAGCCCGCCACTGGTGATGTGTATGCTCCCAGTCTCCGCTTTTCGGCCACCCAGGAAGCCCGACTATGATTGTGGATGCCATGACAATGGAGACTCTGCCAATCCTATCGCTGAATGACAAAATGTGTTAAAAATGTGTCAAACCATGTTCGACAAATGTTTCTAACATGTTTTTACATGTTTAAAACATGTTTAAAACATGTGTCAGGCATCTGGAAATCATTTGGCAGCATGCTTCCTCTCAACGAATCGACTTCCACAAGACTACGATCACTGCCACCGCGATCGGGACCCTCTGCCCTCGCGAGCGGAGGCACGCCGCCGATGTCGGTGCTGGTGTCGGCCTCTGGGCCTCCGGTCCTCCCACGCCTGCGCGAGCTGGCCCTCGCGCAGCATCCGGTACCGGCGCCCGCGCAGCGTCAGGAGGCCCGCGGGGTCCATGGCCTCGGTGACCGCGCGGCGGTTGGCCTCGTCCGGGATGCAGAGCGTCAGGCGCCGAGGCCCGACGAAGTAGATCAGGTAAACCCCGCGGCACCAGTGGACGAAGCTGGAGATGCTCCTGCTGTGGCAACTCGTGGGAGCCTCCCGTTCAATCTTGCTGGCTCTTGCGAATCGACGCTAACTGGCGTGAATCGACGCCCATCGGCGCTGATCGAGGCTCGATCGACGCGAGCCGACGCTACACCGGCGCTGTCTCATCGAGTGCCAGACGCCAGCGCACGCTACAGGCCTCGGAAGAAATCAGCAAACACTCGTGCCACAGTCATCCGTCAGTACCCCCCAGAGATCAAAGCTGGCGGTAGATAAAAAGCGTTGCACTTCGACAGCAGCCTTCCCAACGGGGGTGTCCACTGGCTGCCGTACTCCGAGGACACACGAGGCCCCCGTGCTGTGCTGCCGAGCGCTCCTGCGGTGCAGGGCGGAGTGCAGCTGCGCCCGGAGGGCCGCGGAGAAGGCCTCCGAGGCGCACACGAGGCTCTGCTCCTGCACCAGCGCCGCCAGCTCCGCCTGCTGGGAGAGGAAGGAGCGAGCCGCACGAGCATCGGCGCTGCCAGAGGTCCGCGCGGATCTCTCGGATCGGCGCTGGGGTCCCCCCCGCCTCTGGCGCCGCCCCTGGCGCGCTCCGCGAGCCAGGGAGGGGGGGCGCGCCAGGGCTCGCGGAGCGCGCCAGGGACGGCGCCAGAGACGCCTCCCAGGGGGGGGGGGGGGGCCGGCAGCGCCGGTATCCGAGAGATCCGCGCGGACCTCCGAAGGTGCATGCTTTCGTGCCGTTTTCTCGCCCTCGAGCTCCGCCCCCGTGAAGCTGGTCATCATCTCGTGGCGCGAGGGCGGCGGGCACGAGAACGGCTGGGTGCAGACGCCACAGTGCGTCATCCGCTCGTCAGGGTCCCGTGAGAGGGGACTCTGGCAAACCAGTGGCGCCCCCGAGAACAGTGCAGCCGTGGGTCGAAGCAGGATCCATTCCCCAGCATTCCCCCGCTCACACAAGAAGCCGCACCCAGACGGCGCGTCGGCAGAAAAGATGGCAGCGTAGGTATAGAAGGCCGAAGGAAAACGCATGCAGAAGACATGCCCAGGCTGAGTGCAAGCGCGCCGGAACACAACCACTGCGTATTGCAAGAGTCCTGGTTTGCAAGAGTCCTGGCTTCTGGGGCCCTGAGATTGTCGTTCCCGTACAGCGCGGGGTGCGTCGGCTGCAGCACGAGCACGGACCGCTGCCACCTGTAGAAGAAAAAGAAAAAAACGCCAGAAACATAAACTTTTGGCGCTCCGCGCGGATTTCTTGGATCTGCGCTGGACCCCCTCCCTGGCGCGCGGAGCACTCCAGGGGCGGCGCTGGAGGCGCCGCCAGGGGAGGGCCCAGCGCGGATCTAAGAAGTCCGCGCGGAGCGCCAAAAGTCTAGCTATGCCGATGGCGTTTTGGCTCTTCTTCGAACCTGCGCAGGCAGTCGAAGTGCACCCACTGCTGGCCGCCCGTGCAGGCGCAGGGCGCGACGAAGTCCTCCTCCTCCCCCTCGCAGCCCAGGCAGTACCGACACTGCCGCGCGGGCCCGGCGCCCCCGTCGCCTGCCAGCTGCTCCGCCGGTCGCCGCCGCCGCCGACGCCGCCGCCGCCGCCGTCGTCGTCGCCGTCGTCGTCGCCGCCGTCGTCGTCGCCGTCGTCGTCGTCTCGGAGGGCCAGTTGAGACAGCGGCAGCACTCCCGGCCGTCCCAACTCCGATCAAATCCTCCGCCTCCTCCTCCTCCTCCTCCTC